GCGCAGTACCAGCGCGTTATAATGTTCTTCTACCAGTTTGGCGAAATCAAGGTTGGCTACGTCTGAAGCTTCTGCAAGGTCCTGCCCGGCGCAAAAACCTTTACCCGTGCCGGTGATCACAATGCAGCGCACTGCTTCGTCTTCGGCGCAGGCATCCAGTTGTTTCTGAAGTTCCAGGGCCATTTCCCGGTTAAAGCTATTGTACTTTTCCGGGCGGTTCAGTGCAAGAATGGCAACGCCGTTCTCAATTGTCTGGAGTATGGAAGACATGAGGTGATTATTTAAAGATAGGCTGCAAAATAAGCAGAATCTGATTCTCCCCGGTTCCGGGCCGGTTTGGCGGGCGGCGGACGACCTATTTTTCGAGCCCTTAAACCGCACGGTAAAAAGGGAGTGTGCAGAAATTCACGCAAGTAAGCAATGATAATGACTTGATATGTAGCAAAAGTTCAGTTGTAATACATGGTTTGGTACATTAGTCATCGAACAGGTTGATTTTTTGGCATAACTTGCAGCCCGCTTTGCGACTATTTGCATGGATCTACCCTCAGGAAAAAAAATCTACTTTGCCTCCGACTTTCACCTCGGAATTCCGGATAAGGCAACGAGCAGGGCACGGGAACAGCGCTTGTGCCGTTGGCTGGATGAGATCAGCGCGGATGCAGCGCAATTATACCTGGTTGGAGACCTGTTTGACGCCTGGTTTGAATACCGGCATGTAGTGCCTAAAGGATATACCCGCTTCCTGGGCAAGCTCGCAGAATTGAGTGACAAGGGTTTGCAGATCGAAGCCTTTACCGGCAATCATGATCTATGGATGCGCGGCTACTTTGAAGAGGAGCTGAACATACCGGTACACCACGAGCCCATACGCAGGACTTTTAACGGGAAAACCTTTTTGATTGCACATGGTGATGGCTTGGGGCCAGGTGATCGGGGATACAAACTACTCAAGAAAGTATTGCGCAATCCGTTCTCCCAATGGCTTTACCGCAGGATACATCCGGATACCGGCGTAGGTGTGGCCGGCTGGCTGAGCCGCCTGGGACCGAAACATGTAGAAGGAGAAGAAGAAGTATTCCAGGGGCCGGAAAAGGAATGGCTGGTGCAGTTTTGCCTGGAAACGTTGAAACAGGAACAGGTGGATTATTTTATTTTCGGGCACCGGCATATTGCTATCGAATATCCATTACCTCAAAATAGCTTGTACCTAAATCTTGGAGACTGGCTTCGTTACAACAGTTATGCCGTATTTGATGGCCGGGATCTGAAACTAGCTTATTATAATGATGAAAAGTGAAGAGATTATGACACGTCGCCTGGTATTGATCCGTCATGCCAAAAGCAGTTGGGCAAACCCCCTGCAGAGCGACTTTGACCGGCCACTG